CGCCCCCCCCCCCCCCCCCCCAGTAATAAGCGGTTCTCAGAATGAGTAATGAGCTACGTTTGAATACGCAGGAAAATTTGTATTTACCCCACCCCACCCCAGCCGACATATTTGGTTTGTTGCCCCGTGTGTCATATTGGGATATGACTGGATTTTGGCCTGGTTTGGTAGCAGGACAGCATATGTATTCACGGGAATAATAATTTATATTTTCTAATAGAATGTGATTTGTGTGGTACATAATGACTACGGCTTTTGTGTGTGTGTGCAGAAGTTTGCCTATAGCACGGCGTGGTTTGAGTATTTGTGTCTAACAGTGGGGCAGTGAGGGGTGAAGAGAATTTTGTAGTAAACTGGCTTAGGTCAGAGTTCGCAGTCCTGGGCTCGATTTCATTATAATCCTATTAGTATTGTTATTAACGCTATAATTGAACACTTTAATAACATGTTGTAGTACGTAGTCCAATTTCCTATACGCTGCATGATTGTATCTTCCACGTGGGATGCAGAAAATGCTACGATATATATCATTCCATGTGATTCGATTCCTTGATGTCGTGTAGAGAAACGCACAAATTGTTATGAATGTTTCACAGGAGAATATAACTTCTGAGTCGCTGTGTCCCTAGCCTAGTGTAAGGTAGACTACGAAACAATTCTATTTGATAGCTATTTTATATGTTACCGTATGCCGCAAAACACGGTATAATCACAAATCGTGAACACATTTAACAAACTTCCAGATATGGTTTGGGCTACTGTTTATTTTTTTAAAAAAAATACAAAATCGTGGAGAAATACTATCATCATTTTCTGTGTAATCTTCGAAACGATGAGTCTAATGTAAAAACGCAGACGCAGAGTGGAAAACTATGTTCGCTGTTTCGAGAGCTTTCTGAGGCTGGCGAATGTATACAAAAAAGCAAGATGGCTACCACGAAATAGTAAGGATTATGCACTAGTGAACATCGATTGCCAATTTCGCTCTTAACAGCAGCTAGATGTTACACAAACGAGAATTCTGAAACAGTTAAATTTATTTAAATCCGTTCAACAACTTTGCAATACATGTTAATCCGGGCCAGTCCGCTTTCAACAACTGATAAAAACTACTTGTTTGCCATCCTACTTGTATACGCGATATAACGACTACAAAATAGGGGAGGATGGGGCACTGTGTTCGATAGAATCGATGTGAGACCCAGACGGAAGCAGCCCTACCGTGAATAACTGACAAACAGCGAATAAGGCTCCCTGCAGACCTGCAGAGGACTTTCATCGATATCGGATGGATCCATTGCGAATGCTTGCCCTATTTCTTACAAAGGCAGAACTTTTGCGAATGAGGTAATTGGGCCTACAACGGAGTTATGATTCCACATTTAGGAGCAGGTCCCATATTTCGGTCATCATCTTATTCTGTGTCATTGTACAGTCGGGTGTAAAATTGAACCCGCTCACCCATAGATACTCCCATCTGAAAATTGGATTCCGGTCTTAATTCGTGTAAACGAATCTTTTTTATACCCTGTTATTTTGAATTTCTTTCATTATCTCTTAATTTGTCTTTCTTCTCTTTTGCCCCGTCTTTATTTCATTCGGTCTTTCTTGCACCTAATCATATGACTCATTTAAAAAAATTTGGCACAAAAGTTGTAGAATGTAGATCTTATGGATAAAATAGTAAAGTTTATTATTAATGCTGGATGCACCATAAATGTTCATTGCATATTTTGTAACTGTCTAAATATGTTAAGATTCGCTATAAGATGTGGTACAGAATTTTGAAATTATACGAAATTACCTAACTATCGACGTTTACGTAGGTCACACGTCATGTGACACATATCTTAGAATACGCTGAGTTATCTTGACCCATCACGTGTGAAGGTTCAGTTACGCCTGGTCTGTCAGAGTAAATTGTGCTTTTTTCAAAAGTCCGTATAAAAGGAAAAAAAAAGTATCAGTCTGTAATGATATTAGGCGTTGATTCTGAAATTCTGGGCCACTTTGTGTAATTCTGTGTGATATTAACACGGGCTGTAAAGCACACACAGGTTGTATGCGAAACAACAAAGCAACGGCGTGCGCAGTTGGAAATTGGAAAACTAATTATCACGTGAGAGCTGCAAATTACAACAGACTAACCGGTGTTAGTGCACACACACACGTGTCTAATTTCTTGAAATCAGCCATTTCCTGTTCCCCGTTTCGCAAAACCGTGTGTTCCATATTTAAGCAACATTTACGAATAAAATTATACTCTATTCGCCATTTTATTGTATTTTTTTTCCTCTCGGATCACATAAGATGGGCTTTTAATATGGTGGCTGTCCGCATATTTGTTTTACCGAAATATCACACGGATTTTGATAAAATTTCCCACGCGCCTTATTCTACTTCCAAATTTAAATTTACATGGTAATTTACCCCCATCATCCTTATACTGAATTTCTGGTGGCTGGACACATGCGTTGTTATCATCATTAATATTTTTTTGTTTTTTGTTTTTGTTTTAAGCACTAACAGTAGAGTCCGTAGCTGTGGTACTTGTAGCTGATATTGATTTCTGCGTTACTCAGACCCCACACTGAATGTAATTCCTTGTTGCGCGGACTCTGAGAACGTTAACGTTTCGCTTTGAAACAGTTTGCAACGTTTAGAAATGTTGCTTTATTGTGGCTAAGGCATGCAGCATTGCCTCTCTCGGCCACGCTGTTCGAAAATGTAAAATTTCTGATGGGGAGACAGCGTTATGATTATATATATATACGTTGGCCTTGTAATCCTGGGGTCTCGGGTTCGATTCCCGGCGGTGCCTGAATTTATAACTTGTGTTGGGCAAGGCCGTGGTCTAGGCAACACGGAGTTTTCCTCCGGGGGCTTCCCCGGTTTCTCCGTGGCATCCCAACAATTACTCCATTCACACACAGAAGAAGGCAATGGCAAACCACTTCTGGATCATCTGCCAAGAACGTATATGAACAGGTCCCAGTCCGAGAAAAGGATGGAAGGATCCTGTTCATATGGACCTGTCGTCAGACAGAACACTAAATAATAATAATAATATATATATATATATAATTATCAGATACTTAGACACTCGTGAGTTCTGGTCATAGGGCCATTACTTGTAAAAAAGCAGTGTTTTAAATTGTTATCTTATGCTCTTTAATTCCTCTTTCTTGCCTCATTCCTTCTTCGTCGCTTTCCTTCCTCAGTTTCTCTTTTAATTCTTTCCTTTTCCGTTGTGTATTACTTTTTTCTTTTTTCTACATTTCTTTCATTTCCATCTCTTCCTCTCCTTTTTTTCTACATTTCTTTCATTTCCATCTGTTCCTCTCCAATATTCTTATTCTTTACCTCTCCTCTCCCTTCTTGTTTTTGTTTTGTTTCCCCTCGTTCGTCATATCTTCGTCTCTTTCTTTATGTTGGTTTCTCTTACCGTCTTCTCTTTCAATTTTCCTACTATCCACTTCTAAG